TTCTGCTTTCCCCTGAAGCTAATAATTTTTTCTTTTGCTTGCCTTACTATTAATCATCACGAACTCTCCCCCAACCCTGCTCTGTAACTCTCTTCTCAAACAGGCAAACATACTGGGTGTGTCTCAATTTCATCTACTTGAAGAAAATAATTTCTGGGCCCTTCTGACATGCTCCGGTCTGGCCTGGTTGACTTCAGGCCCAGAGGTGTCCTGGGGTTTCAATAGCACCCGATTCCCTTCACCTCTTGTGTTGGAGCTCCTATGCCTTTCTGGGTTTACCTCCCCATTTTGAGAGTGGGGGCAGTGGAGATCGTGTCTCGATTTCACTCTCATATTGAACAAGAATGGTATGGCTAGATAACACATTCTAGAATGGTTGGACAATATCCCCCACCCGTTTTCCCCTGTTTTTTTAATTTCAGAGAGAGAGAATCATCAATCGGCTGCCTCCTGCACGCCCCCTACTGGGGATGGTGCCCAAAACTTGGGCATGTGCCCTGAGAGGGAACCGAACCATTACCTCCTGGTTCATGGGTTGGCCAGCAACCACTGAGCCATGCTGGCTGGGCTCCTTTTTTTAAAAAAAATCCTCACCTGAGGATATTTTTTTCCATGGATTTCAGAGAGAGTGGAAAGGAGGGAGGAAGGGAGAAAGAGAGAGAAGCCCTGATGTGAGAAACACTGATCGTTTGCATCCTAAAGAGGGCCAGGGATTGAACCTGCAACCCAGGTATGTGCCCTTGACTGGGAACCGAACCTGTGACCTTCTGGTGCATGTGACGGAGCCCTAATCCACTGCACCACACCGGCTGGGTGATATTTTCCAATCTTGAAATTTAAAAGAATTCGAAGGCAGTGCTTTACTGTCTTGTAGCTTCCAACACTGCTCAAAAGTCTGGAGCCATTCTGATTCTTGTTCCTTTGTGTGAACTCCTTCTATCTCTCCAGAAGCCTGCAGGGTCTCCTTTGTCCCCAGTGGCTCTGAAATTTCTTGCCACAGTGTCTAAGGTGCGGGTCTATTTCCATCCATTGTTCTGGATGGTTGGTGGGCGCTTTCAATGTGGAAAACCAAGTTTTGCGGTGCCGGGAATTTTTCTTTTTTTGTGTGTGTGTGTGTTAAATTTATTTTTTATTACTTTTATTTTTCAATTACAGTTGACACAGTTTCAGGTGTAGCTGGAAATTATTGTTGAATTATTTTGTTGCTAATTCCCTCCTTCCTGGTTCTGTTTTTTTTCTTTCTGATATTCCCATTAGCTGGACATCGGACTTCCATCCTTTTTGTCCTTGCCTTGTTTTCTTTTTTTGCCTTTTTGGTTTATTTTCTGAGATGTCTGCTCATTATTTTCTAACACTGCTACTGAACTTTTAATCTGTATTATTACATTTTTAATTTCGAAGAGTTCCTTCCTATTTTTTAAAAAATAAGCATCATACATTTGTGACATGGTTGTATCTGCTTTTATCTCTCTGAGGATTATATGTCTGTACTGTACGTATTTAAACACTCTTTTTTCCCCTCTCTGCATGGTCTGTTTCCTTGAAATTAATTTTTTCTTCCTTTTTCCTTTGGTCTCTGTATATGAGAGGCTTTTCCCAAGTGTCTTGTGGTTCTTCGCTGTCCATTTATACTAAAGTGGAGCGCTCAGAAGGGAACTGCAAGTTTGGTGCATTCAGGCAGCGCTTGCCGACTACAAGCCTCCCAGTAGGATGATTTCTTCGGGTCATTTCACTGGGAAATTTCTTGGCTGGTCCCAAAAGTCTCCTGATAAAATTCCGCCCAGAGGGTTTGATCCTGGATGTCAGCATCATTTTGGGAGCCAAGTTAGGGAGGAAGGCTGGAGATCTCAACATCCGGATGTCAACGCTCACTTATTCCCTTGTTTTAAATATGGTACCCTGCCCTCAACTGTGCCTGGTGCCCATGTCCAGAGACCTTCCTGTTCACCGTCTCCAGAGAATTAGCCCTGGTCCTCTGCCAGGGCTGGGAGATGGAGATGCCAGGATTGGGGGAAGTAATGAAGGAGGAAGTGCCCTTAAAGTCCTCTTTAAAAGCTGTGCCAGCCCTGGCGGGTGTGGATCAGTGGTTAGAGCATTGACTCACCCACTGAAGGGTCTCGGGTTCAACCCTCAGCCCCAGTCGGGGTGCGTTCGGGAGGCAACCAACTGATGTGTCTTCTCTCACAGAGATGTTTCTCTGTCTCTCTCTCTCTCTCTCCCTCCCTTCCACTCTCCCTAAAAATCAATGAAAAAAAATCCTCGCGTGAGGATTAACCAAAAATAAATAAAAGCTGTTTCACGAATCCTCTCTTTTAGCCTCACTTTTACCCCCATTTGCAAAGACACCTGAAGTCTCTGGTACTAATTCCTGAGTCTTGAGTCTGGATGGGGTGGAGTACGAATCGAGTTTCTCCTCAGCTTTCCCTGGTACCAACTTTGGATGCGGCTTCCTAAGCCAGCCATCATCTGGCCACTTGCTTTCAGGCTTCCAAAATCTGCTCGCTGCTGTCTCCCTGTCCCTTCTTTTGAAAGTCCCTTCATGTTTTACTAGGATTTGGGGGAGGGAGGAGTAAACACATGTTCAATCTGCCGTCATTAAATCTGTCATTCTTCATGCACTGTTTTTATTTTTTTAAATTTACTTTTACTGAATAAGAAGTAATACATGCTCACTTCAAGAAATTCTGCAAAGCACCGAGAAATATCATTTTGGGATGTTTGCGTTCAATTTCTCTCTCTCTTTTGTTTATATCATTGACTTCATATTGTACTGACATTTTCCAATTCTACATCATTAACTTCCCCATCAGCATTTCCAACAGGCTTTAGCAATTCCCACCTTAAGCAAACAACCATGGAACTGTGAAAAGTCTCAATTTTCTAAATGTTTCCCCCTTGGTATCATGCCGTTGGGTCTGGCCCAGGGCCGGCTTGACAGCCACCCTTGTAAGAGAGAAGACATACGGACAGACAGGTTACCATGGGCATTTTTGGGGCTCTGGTAACTACAGATTCTCAGAACCACCCTGCCAGCCAGAGGCCAGGGCCCCTGGTTTCACACACAGGTACAAGTTCAAGGCCAGCCCTGGAGCAGTGGTTCCAATGTCCTCTCCCGTCCTCCCTCTCCGTCCAGGCTCCAATTGGCTGGAGACGGTCAGTGGGACAAATGGCACATTCCAGCTATACAGGGCAGCCTCTGTGAGGCCGCCACTTCCCACAGAAGCTCCAGCCGTGGACGTGCGTGTGTCAGAACAAACCAGCCCAGGGCACAGCAGGCTGGGGCTCTTTGCTTTTCCATTCTGGCCCCAGGCTGTGGGAGGCACATCTGTGAAGAGGGTGTGAGAAGTGGACAGAGGAAGGGGAGTGGTACTCTCACCCCAGCCCTTTCATATAGATGCTAGAAGAGCAACACCTGGGCCACAAAACTGCATTGGAACATCAGGCTGGATTCTAGGATTTTAACCACAAAGTACCTCTCCTATACTTTTATTCTTCGCCTCGCAAGCCTTCTTATTTCTTTTACTCTGAATCTCTCTATTCCCACGTGGCCCTTGTTTTGGGATGTGGCCACTCAAACCTTTCAGATACAGAAAGGTTTCCTCCAAATAGATGACCACTCTGCCATGTGCCACACTTTACCCCAACCCCCCCACTTTCATCTACTGTTAAATCCATCTTTGTTGTCTGCTGGATGAATTCAGGAACAGCTTCTCCCTTCAATTCAAATCTCCAGGCAAATCTCTTGAGTAACGATACTGAGTTGTCTGAACCACACCAGCACTTATTTTTCCACGGGGTTCTGTCTCTTCTGTAAGTTGCCTGTGCTCTTGGTCCATGGTTGACATCACTCCATAGGTTTCATCCCTAGAGCCGGTATACAGGTCCCAGAATCAAGGACACTTCCTCAAAACGAGGCCTGACTGTTGGCCCCAATGAGATTAGCCTCCGTGATCACCAGTGATGTTTGGCTACAAAGGACAAGGACCTGCTTCTGCTGGAGACCTTCAAGGTAAGTCATACAAGTTCAAAGGGAATTCCAAACTAGGAGCTCCCAAAGCGAACTACACACCGAAAAAGCGCCACAGGATGAGTGTGCGAGTTGCTGAATGGCCAGTGTGGAAGGGCCAACAGAATGACAAAGCTGGTGTTCACTGGGCCATCGCCACATGTCGGTCACCGTACCAGACCCTAGATATTAGCACCAGTCCTATTTAATAGATGAGGAAATGAGGTCTCCAAAAAGGCTGAGCATGCCCTAGCTGGTCTTGCTCAGTGGTTACAGCATTGGCCCAAGGACTGAAGGGTTCTCGGTTTGATTCTGCCCAAGGGCACGTAACTTGGTTGCAGGCTCGGTTGGAGGCAATCAATCGATGTGTCTCTCTCACTGATGTTTCTCTCTCTCTGTCTCACTCCCGCCCTTCCACTCTCTCTGAACAGCAATGGCAAAAAATATCCTCAGGCAAGGATAAACAAACAAACAAATACAAACTAAAAGGTCAAGCTACTAAAGTCACACTGCTGGTAAGCAGAAGAGCTGGGATTCGAACACAGGCTGCCAGACACCAGAGGCGGCCCGAGCCACTCGGCCAGTCCCACCTGGAGCCTCTCTGCTGCCTCTACCTAACGTCTCATCTAGACACCACCCTGCACATTGGAGGTAAAGTCCACGTCTGTCCCTATCCCACTGACCGGCTGCAGGACCCAGACGTGGCCCTTTTCTGGGGAGCTCCCGCATGCTTGCGTACCCGACAAGTGACCACCTTTCTCTCAGTTGTTTTGTTTCCTGCAGAGTGAGGTGACAGTCACGTCAAAGCTCTGAGACAGGGAACTCAACCAACAGCAGACCTAGTTATCAGCCTGGTGATCAGGAAGCCCCAGCCCCTGCAGATGGACCTCCTTCCTCCACAAAGCTGGCTAACATATCCGTCCAGGGTCTGCTCTGGATTATAACACTGAGAGATCTAGAAGGTAGAGGTCTGGGCTGCCCAGCAGCCACTCACCAGCACTGGGGTCTGCAGGCGGCTCGCCCTCCTCTGAGTCTTCCTGCTCCTGCATGGTCGGCCTCTCCCCTCGCTCCATCTGTGACATGAGGTCTGGTTTGGAAATTGCATAGTCTGGACAGAAGGAAGAAAAGAAGATATAGTATGGGGTGAGGTCGGACTGGATGCTGCAAAGGTGTGACTTGTGTGTGACCCCAGGGCAGCTCCCCTAATTGCAGCTAGCAACGTTGGAAAAGAAATGAGCCACGGCCTGGCTGGCGTGGCTCAGCAACTGAGCATCGACTTATGATCCAGGAGATCGAGGTTCAATTCCTGGTCAGGGCACATGCCCAGGTTGCGGGCTCCATCCCCAGTAGGGGGCATGCAGGAGGCAGCTGATCAGTGACTCTCTCATCACTGATGTTTCTCTCTCTCTCTCTCCCCCTCTCCCTTCCTCTCTCTGAAATCAATAAAGATATATTTAAAAAAAGAAGAAGAAAAGAAATGAGCCAAGTTTCCAGCCCTTTTCTTGGGGCCCACTGTGTGTGTACACGGATGTGTGTGTTAACCAAGTCCTGTGTCCTCCTATGCAGGGAACAGCGGTGTGGCGCCACCTGCCACCAATGCAAACTGGCCCTTTTGTCACCTGTCTCTTCAGTTGCTCAGATTTTTCATGACAAAGGCACAAGATATTTAAAATTTTATAAAGCACAAAAACTATCGTGATAAAATCTAGAAGCTGTAACACAAAATACTGGTAGATTTCCTTACATTAAAAAAGTTTAAAGTTCTTTGGAAATAAAGTTAAAAGACGAAGGAACTTGGAGGAAATATTATTACACATACATCTGTCATATGTACAGCACATACATCTGTCATATGTACGGCAAAGGGCTAATATCTGTAATTATACACAAATAGTCTCTACAATTAGTGAAAAATAAAAAAGTAAAGATAAAACTGGCAATTCATAGGAGAAATACAAATGGCCAGTAAACACATGAAAAAATAAGTAAGTTCACTAATCATCAAAGAAATACAAATTAAAATAATGAGGTGTCTGCCCTGGCCAGTGTGGCTCAATTGGTTGGGTGTCATTCTGTGCACTGAAAGGTCACTGGTTCGATTCCTGGTCAGGGCATATGCCTGGGTTGTGGCCTTGATTCCCCAATAGGGGGCAAGCAGGAGGCAGTCAACTGATGTTTCTCTCTTGATCTATATTTCTCTCTCTCTCCCCCTCTCCCTTCCTGTCTCTCTAAAATCACTAAAAACATATAAAAAATAAAATAGAAGAACATCAGTGGGGCAGTGGGGCCAAGGTGTGGAAAACAGGCACTGTGCACACCACTGCATAAACATATACAGCCTCTGGAGGGCACCATAGCAGTGACCGTGGTAATACTGTAAATGTGCACCCTCTTTACTTGAAAAACCCACTTCCATGAATCTGTGCCACTGAAATACTGTAAGTGCACAGACACACAGAGATGTTTATGGCAACACTGTAACAGAGAGAAGACAGAATCCAGGGGCTGCTCATTGAACACCCAGTGGTTCCTCTTCCCAAGCAGGCCTATGGGTGTTGTTATGGAAAGCTGTCTGTGATGTGCTGTTAGATGAAATGAGTGAAGGATCCCACTGGTGCGAGCCACAAATTTCATGTACACGAGTGCATGCATTGTGTGTTATGTTTGCATGTGCACACAAAAATATGGAAAACCACTCAGGCTAGCCGGTTCTTGGTGGTTACCTCTGGGGAGTGGTACTGGTGGGAGGGTGAGGGTTGCTCTTTACCATATAAATCTAAATTGCTGAATTTTCACAATTATGTGTGTACTTTAAAAAGGAAAGAAAAAAAAAACCACAAGTTAAAAAGAGAAAAGTTATCCCATGAAGAGATATGTGTGTATGAGATTAACAATTCTAGCAAGAATCAACATTTCTATACAACAATGTATTTAATATTTTTTAAACTTTTTTGTGTGCCCATAGGAGTTCCCTATCAGAGACAAGGATACATATAAAACTATAGTTTTCCTAGGTTTTCACCCTTAAACACTCTTATTTAATGAAGACAACAATAATCCACAGACTTTGGGGTAAGAGAGAGCTCAGTGAAACTGTGACTTCCTGGTAGGGACCTAGGGCCTCCCTGGGTGACAGCCTCCTCTCTACACAAGGGGGAAGGGAACATAGGGGACGTCATTCCCCAACAGATGACAGTGTTCGGTCACCTGAACAGTAAAACAGGAGTGCCCACCCCTGTCCCTAGCTCCCTTATTGAGAGGAGTGAGGCTTAAACGATATGATTCTTGTAAAGCACCTCACACTGGCTTAATAATAGTTTGCTGGACACATTAATTTAAAAAATATACATATAGGATCCATGGGAAAAATACAGGGTGTACCAAAAAAAGTACACACACTTTAACAGCTGGTAACTCACTTAATTTTTGGTCTTTTTCAGGTTTGATTTGAAATAATGGGTGAAGCCAGACTAAGCTTTGAACAAAGAAAATTTATCCTAAAGGGCCACTGGACTTTTTTTTTTATGGGGATACATAAAAGATAAAGTTTAGATACAAAACCAGCAACAGCTGATGAATTGAGGGCGCACAAATACCGAACAAAATGATCCTTGCTGTTTGCAATTCCACTGCTTCGAGTTATCAGCTGTGCCTGGACCAGAATGGTCATCAGTTTGAAAACAGGCATTGACAAAAAAAATTATTCATTTCTCTAGATTCTTTTAGATTTTGAAAATGAACTGTACGTTAATAAACACTGACTTGGCTCAGTGGTTAGAATGTTGGATCGCAGACTGAAGGGTCCCGGGTTTGATTCTGACCAAGGGCACGCACCTCGGTTGCAGGCTTAATCCACGGCCCTAGTTGGGAACATGCGGGGGGGCAACCAACCGATGTGTCTCTTTCACATCGATGTTTCTCTCTCTTTCTCTCCCTTCCACTCTCTGAAAAGCAATGAAAAGAATATCCTCATGTGACGATAAAAATAAAATAAACACTGACTTTATAATCATTCAAAGTGTGTATACATTTTTGGGGACACCCTGTAATATAAAGGCAAGAGACCTCTGGTATCTGAGGCTGTCTTTTCCTCTTGCCCCAGTGGCTTTTCCGTGGAGTGGGGTCTCCCTTCATGAGCTGTTCTGATCTGGGGTGCACTGCTGTACATAAGCATATGAGAGCGTTTTTTCTAATCTGTTGTGCTCTCTAACATTCAGTTTGCCTTGTTCTTGATTATCAGTAGTACTGGAGTTCAGAACTCTCAATGGGTCCAAATGAACCTCAGGCCAATGTCCGGGGAGCCCCGGCAAGTGAAGCCCTCTCCTTACCCATGGAAACCAGAGACTCGTAGTTGCCCCTCATCACGTTCTTGTACAGCTCCTTCTGCCACTCGGACAGGTTCCCCCACTCCTGCTCCGAGAAATGGACGGCGACATCATCGAATGTGACAGGGACCTGAAACCACAGTACAAGCTCAGTGGAGACCCATTGGCGGGCTGTGACAGGCCCTCGGCTGCCAAATCGCAAGGGAACTAATGGCCCCAAACCCCAGGCCAGGCTCAAACACCTCTTCTTTCCCACCTCTTCTTTCCCAGAGTGGGAAAGACCCCAAGGCACAGCCCCGGGATGTCACCAGGCTTGGGCCACTGTCCTGAACCTAGAAAGTAAGGAACTTGTCTCGTTCGGTCCTTTTCCTAACAGGGTAACCCTCGCTGCTATAAAGCATGGTGTGCAGACCAGCAGCAAGAGCACAACCAGGGAATCTGCTAGAAATGCAGGCTCGCAGGCCCTATCCTAGACCCACTAAATCTGATTCTGCATTTAGTAAGCTCCCCAGGTGATCCACATACACAACAAAATCGCACAAGTGCTGGCCTAGTGAATACAGTCCAAGGACAAGTGCTGGCCTAGTGAATACAGTCCAAGTTCTTTCCGAAAGGCTGAGAAAGGGGGCAGGGCACAAAGGAATGGAAAGAAATAGGGTCCTTGTTCAAATTCTTGCAGAATCTTCTGGGAAATAATACTAAAACCTAACGTTCTTTTGTTTTTTTAGGCTCCTTCTTGAGATCACATTTTTACTGGCATTAACATGATCTGTAAGTCAAATGATAAAAACATTGAGCCCGGCCCTGACCGGGAGGCTAGATGGTTAGAGCATCATCCCATGCACCAGGAGGCTGCAGGTTCGATACCCGGTCAGGGCACATGCCTAGGTTGCGGGTTTGATCCCCCGTTGGGGTGCTTATGGGAGGCAACCAATTGATGTTTCTCTCTTGCATCAGCGTTTCTTTCTCTTGCTCTCTCTCTTCCTTCCTCTTTCTCCAAAATTCAACAAAAATATATCCTCTGGTAAGAACTGAGAGGCAAATAACAAAATGTTGAGCCCAACAAAGCCCCATACTATTTCCCCAAGTTCTCCCTCCCAGCGATGAACTGCTAATTCACACTCATGGGGACTGACTACATCTCTATCATTGGGTTTTCGCTCTGCCTGCTTGTCCTCTAGACATCACAGACTGAACGCCCCTCTAAATCGACACTCCCTGATCACTAGGACCTTCCTCCCATCTATTAACTTATGCTTTTAGCAACAGGAGAAATAATTTAGCTGTGCTATATGTCCTGTTCTTAGCAAACGGATGTTGACCGCTAGGTATCATTATATTTTTTCCCTTCTCAGCTATCACTTCCCCCTTCTTTTATATTTAACTAAATTCTTAAAACACATTCTAATTCAGATCACTCCTTGGGAGCCCCAGTGGGGCAGGGTTACCTTGGGAACTTCTCCATTGCTGCCTGGGGGCAGTCGCAGGATCCAGAAATTTCTGTTTTTCAGCAGGTTCTCCATGTTCTCCAGCCGCCTCTGCAGCAGCCCGTATTCCTGCAGCAGGGTCCCCAGCACGACCCATTTGCTCTCCAAGTGGTTTGCAAACTCCACGGCCGTCTTCTCGCAGTCGGCTATCTTTTTCTCATTTGTTCCCGTCCGTCCCTCCAGCGTCAGCAGCCGCATGGCCTGGGCCTCTAGTTTCCTCTCCACCGCTTGGACGGCAGCCCACACGGCCAAGCGGGTGATCTCTGCCGTTGGGAGTGGCGTGTCCTTCTCGGCTGCAGAAGAGGTGTGGAAGGGGGTCTCCTTTTGGGAAACTGGGCTCTGGAGCAGGGGGTCCATGTCGGCCTCGGGAACTGTGGGGGAGAGGGTGAGGGGGTCTTTCTCAGGAACTTCAGGGGAGTGGAGTGGGGCTTCTTGGTGGTGGGTGGAGTGAGAGAGCAGTGAGATTTCTTGTTCAGCAGCAGCTGGGGGTAGATACTGGGTCTCTTCCTGGGAGGTCAGGGGGCCCTGGAGCTGTGTCTCTTGCTCAGAGGCGGCAGGATAGAGGAGCGAGGGTCCCTTCTGGAGGATGTGCGGCATCCGGCCGGAGGTCTCTTGCTTGGGAGTGAGGGTTAGGGAACCTTGCCGGGGAATGGAGGGAGACGAAGGAGTTTCTTTTGGGGGAAGAACTCGGGACTGGAACAGAGCTTCTCGGGGCAGTCCAGCAGGGGCTTGCCGCGGCGTTTCTTCTGGCAGGACATTGGGGAACGACAGTGGCGATGAGCGTTGGGTCTCCATGTCCAGTTGCTGGACCTGTGTTCAACAAAAGGGCAAGAGTGAAGGCCACAGTCTCCAGCTGGCAAAATAAATGCCAAAGATACCCACATTAAAAGAGCACTAGAAGCAATGTGCTCTATGGATATGAACCTTTTCTTAAAAGTCTAGCACTCATTCAGAGATTAATTACAAAACCATTAACTAAGAATAAAAGATGGTTATACCACCTTCTGCTCTTCACAGAGACAATTTCCTTTGCACAATATACTTTCCATGAGTACCATCTTATGAGTCGTAGTGTCGGAGAGGAGAAAGGGTACTGGCCTTGAATTAGAACACTTGGCTCTCAGGCCTGTCCACACCTATCGCTGCCTGGTCACCCTGGCCCAGTCATTTGACCACTGTGTTCTCTGTGGCCTCATCTATAAGATGAGGACAATAATCTGACATACCCTGTTACCTCACTGAGTTGTCTGAGCATTCTTTAATAAAACAAAACTCTGGAAAACAACAGAACAGAATTTTGTCAATGCCAGGCACTGTTCCTATGCCCAGACTCCCAGCAAGGTGGGAGGTGATCCCAGGTGGGGGTCGGTGCTGTTAGCTGACCTACCTCGCAGGTAAGTCATCAGACCCCACTGCTTCTACTCAAAGTATCAGGCAGCCTTGATGCCCATGTTCTTTCCCACTTTGTCCAATAGTGAAGACACACAATGACTGTAAGTTTTGCCAACTCTTTGATAAAAGCTGAACTGCTGACTTATCAATAAAGCTCCCTCAGAGTTTTATAGCGTGGGCTGGCTTGGACACGTTATATGGACCCAGCCCCTACTGGAGATGCTGAATGGCCTTCTGGACATTCCAGGCTGGCTTCTGCTCTAAGCAAGGAGATAGGCATGACATGGCAAGTCAGCAGCTCCCATGGGAGGTCCCCTGGGCAGATGGTCCACTGTGTGGTCTGGGTTCCTCCCTATGGTTAAGGAGGGGGGGGAATGAGGAAAGGAGGTCTAGAAGGGCTGGAAGCAGAGCTGAAGTCTGCTGGTTTTGTGACTCCCTGTCAAGACTAGAGCAGACTAGAACCCAAATAAAGGTTGATTCCTTTGGGGATTTCAACTAGTCAATCTCTCTCCGTCCCCGACCTTGACACATCCACGCTGAGAATTCTTTTGCCATCGGGGATGTGAAGCCAACATCTGCGTGATGAGTTCTGTATTTACCTATCCAGACGACTAACAGCTTTACTGAAACTGAACAGAATCTCTCCTGTAACAATGTTTGCCCATCTCATCAGCTTCCTTCAATGAATCTACTGAATGCCAATTACCATGCGCCAGAAACTAGGGATCTTTGAAGTAACCAAAATTCCCATTTTCTTTGTTTGAACATTAACATATCCCTTGCGTCCAGTCTGATGGGCAGTATGTGCTCAATAAACGGTTGCTGAATGAATGACTAGTATAAACTGCTGAGTTATGAGAAAAAATGATTAGGGTAAATAATAAAGTTCCTTCAGTCTTTTTACCAAAGATCACCCAAACCTATTTATACTTTTACCACCACCTTTCTTTTCTTCCTTCACTGACGGGTCTCTTAACTAAAACACTATTACCTTTTTAAGGCAAGGATAAAAGGTTTAAGACTTTATTTAGGCAAAAGAATTCTGAGGTAGTATAAAACAGCTCTACAGCTAACCAGACGTGACAGCTAATTAGTGGGGAGGTAGCTAACAATCATTTGGCATTTATGTGCCATGAACTGTGTTAAGCATTTAAAAGGGCTATCTCACTTAACCTTCATGAAACCCTATGAAACAGGGACTACTAGACTTGTTATCCACACTCTGCACATGAAGACGCTGAGGCAGGAGAGGCTAAGCAACTGCCCAAGGTCACAAAAGTGCTCTGGCTCCTGGGCCTGGGTCTCCGCTTACACTGTAGGTCACTTCCCGGCCACATCTGTCAACTGAGGCAGCTGGCTGGTGCTCCCAATCCGTTTCACCTCTAAAATCCAGAGGCTGGGAGATTAAACAAAGATCTGTGGGAGGTTCTACCGAGGGGGAGGTGGTTGGCCCTGCCCAAAAAGACATTTCCATTTAAAGCCGGGATCAGGGATCCCTTTGAAAACCTAATGACACTTATGGACTCTCCTCCTCAAAAAAAAAAAAAAAAAAAAAAAAGGGAACACCCCTGAAGCCCCTGTGACCTTAAGGATAACAATGATCCTAATTTTTAACACCGTGAATTAGTTTGGCCTGGTTTTGAACTTTATGTTACTGAAATTATCCACTGTGTATCTGGCTTCTTNACACTCTCAAGGGGTTACAGAACCCCTGAACCCGAACTTGTCAACAACGAAGCCACCTCTCAACTCCTCACTCTGCACAGGTTGAGGGCAAGACTGGATGGCCCTCTGGGCCGGGGAACCTCAAGACACGGGGAAAGTGACTAGCACAATGGAACACAATAGGCACATTACGGCCCCATCCTCCGAGGGGATTAGGGTATTTGCCTACAACTAGTAGGAAGGAGGCAACCACCCCCCCAGGGGGGCCGAGTTAGTCTCCCTGAGAAATTCCGGGGTTTAACCGAAACAATGAAAACAAGCTCCAGTACGGTAAAATCAAGCCAGCGGAGTACGGCATCTTTACCAACTAGTCTAATCAAGAGCTCGATGGAAAATACCTTTTCTTTGCTTCCTATTATTAGACCGTCTCTCTCTCTCTCTCTCTCTCTCTCTCTCCATTTCCGGATTTGGAGGACTATGGAGGGATGAGGGGCCTCGGGGAGTGTGTCCCCAACCCCAAATAAAAGCCCCTTGCCATCCTTTCATAACGGCTTTACAGTGCCTTACGCAGAGAGAAGTGGCCCGGGAGCATGGGAATATGATGTCTAAGATTAATAAGCTGTATTCTCCAACTGCAGGGGGGCAGAATTCTTCTTAACTGTATTTTATAGGGTCCCACTGTATTTTATAGGGTCCCACTGTATTTTATAGGGTTGCCCATGTCTCCCAAGTGGACCGGAAGGGGTCAGGAGGTACATGGCTTTCTACAAAGCCTCTTGCTTCTTAAATAATAATGAAACTCTTAGGGAAAAATAACACAATTTCCCGCCCGTGTGAGCAGGAAGACAGAGCCCCACACATCTGATCTATGGGGACAGCTGTGCCATTTTCTCGCATGACCCGGTGTGACTCACCCCCAGAATTATATCGGGCCCTGAAGACCTCAGCCTGGAGGTGGACATTTTTTAAAAACAAAAAAATCTTCATTTTGTGTTATTTTCCCTAAGAGTTTCATCATGATTTCAGCAGCGAGAGGCTTCGGAGAGAGCCCTCTGCATCCTGACCCCTTCCTGTGCACCACAGGAAACTGAGGCTCAGGGGCGCCCACTCGCGGGCGGCCGCCCTCCCGGGGC